GACACGGCCGACGGCTCACAGTTCTGAACAGAGCTGGAACAGTTCTGTACAGGGCTGGACAGAGCTGGCGGCATTGGGATTTGGGACACGGCCGACGGCTCACAGTTCTGAACAGAGCTGGAACAGTTCTGAACAGAGCTGAACAGAGCTGGCGGCATTAGGACACGGCCGACGGCTCACAGTTCTCAACATGGCGAACAAATTTTATATTCAAGAAATTTTGAGATAGCTATTTGGTTTGTCATGTCTCTTTGTACCTAACAGTGAAAAACGAAGTTTCACCCAAATTCGTTGACACTTTGTCCCATCGTACTGATATTTGGGTGCCTGCTGCCACCAGTAACGTCATGTTCATTTTTAAGACACAATGTCCAGGTACCCAGGTACCTACTTATCGTGCATAATTTGAAATCAATTATTTTTCGGTAAGAAATTCTTGGCCAGACACTGAAGCTGTTTAAGCTCACGTGATGACGTGAGAGCTTTGATAATGAACTTGGAAACAGCGTTCTTTTGAAAAAAGGAAGCATAATGTGGTTGAATTTAGCTTGTCAGGATACTTCAGGTAAAAAAGGTCAAATTTTAAAGTTGATTTTTTTTTAACCCGCGCCCCGTTGGGCTCTGCCGAGCAACGCGCCGTTGGGGGCAATTTGCCCCCCCCCTAAGATCTCGAGAACCACGCAACCTAGCGACAAGCGGCAAACGGTGTTGGATAGCCCTATCAGTGAACTACGTTGTGACCCAATTTTATTGACCTAGGTCAAACCGATGACGTCACAGGTCAGGTCAAAGGTCGAATTTTCACCGTTTACAGGCATTTCAAGAAATGCGTTGTAAAATCGAATAAAATGTATTTCATTGAAAATCATCCATGTCCAATCATTTGATGTTTTTCAAAAACATATTATGCTATTTGAGGTCACTGATACCAGGTCAGGTCACAGAGGTCAGGTCACTGGGGGGTCACAATATGAAAGTGTCGTGTGATACATGTTTTATGGTCAATTTTACATGACAAATGTGATTATGTGGAACAGGCAGCCTTTGGGGCCAGCTTAGGTCACGTTTTGGTCAAGGTCAGGTCAAGGTCAGGTCATATTAGGTCAAATTTCAAAGTTGATATTTTTGCATAAAAGGGGTATCGATTCGATGCAGCTCGTCACGGGGAGTTCAATGGCAATGGGGGTCTTTGTTTTGCCCTACGTGGTCTAGAATCGCTAAAAATTGAGTTCAAAAATTTGACGTCATCATTTTGGAACATTTTTTTCGCTATAACTTGGCCAAAAAACGAGATATCAATCTGAAATTTGGTATGTGTATAGAAAAGTGTAGGGACTATCACATATATTCCGTTTTTTTCGAAATTCGGATTTTTTTTATTTTTTTTTTGTTTTTCTAAAAAAATCACTTTTTTTGCATTTTTGGGATCAAAAACCCAAAATTTTGAAAATCCGAGATAGCAGTTTTGTAGCGCCGCTTTTTTGTCTACTAGACCATATAAAGAACTTTGAAATTGCTTGGTAACTGTAGATTTGGTGAGCGTTTCAAGGTTGCATGTTTTTTGCTCGTTTTTGCTGGAACATGACCTCAGTTTGATCTCAATAACTCCTGACCTAAGGTGACCTAAGACTTGAAAGTTGGTGTTAATGTGTCAAATTGATGCCCGGGAAGGCACTGAAAATTTGGCGGCGCTGCGCGCCGCCGTTTTCTTGCTATTCAGGAAAAACCACAGGGGGGCCAAATTGGCCCCCCAACGGGGCGAGGGTTCACAAAAAAGGTATCTTTCGGGTGCAGTTTGAGCTCAGAAACACGATGGTGATATTTATATTGATGCACCATATCAAACACGTACTGAAAAAATTATTTGGAAAAAAATTAATAGAGAAAATTTTACTTTCATGCGTATAACTGCTACTTTTGAAGATGTCCGGCTAAAACTTGCTAGGATATATCATGGTTTTGTGTTCTATCACATACATATATTCCATTTTTTTAATAAGTCCCTTTTGGAAAAGGATACAAATATAAATTGTGAAATTTAAAATAAATTATTTTCAAAAATTTCAAAATTTTGACAACATGAGACAGCAGTTTGATAGCACAGTGTATTTAAAGTCATCTCATGCAAGGAAATTGGGTCTAGCTTAAAAACTGAGCTTTTGATAGCGATTGCCGTAGTTGAATGTTTTGCGTCGAAATCGGCCGACATGACGTCATTCTGAGTTCATTTCCGGCCGAACTACGGTAGCTAAGAAGTTCAAATTTTGACACAAGGTGGCAAATTGATGCATCAAAAGGTACGGAAGTTTCGCGTCGATACCTCCAGTGGTTTAGAAGTTATTGCGGAAAAACGAGAGGGGGCTAGGAATAGCCCCCCTCCCCCAGTGGGGCGCAGGTTCAATTTTTGAGCCCCTAGGCTGGTCTGATTTTTGACGATTCTTTCCCCGTGAACAACACTTTGGACCAAGCATAGCCGAACATTTCCTCAGTTTGACCGCTAATTTATTAATTTATTTTGACCTAATTTATTCCAGAACTTGTGTAAAATTGATGTCCGGAGAAGTACTGAAAATTGCAAGTCGAAATTCGCAGCCGTTTCTGAGTTACCTGCGACATAACACAGGGAGGGGTCCCTTTGCCCCCTCCCCAACAGGTCGCGGGGAAAATAAAATCAAAATAGAAAATACGTTTTCAATTCCATTTCACAACAAACTAACTAGGCAGGAAAACTTAAAACCAGCGCTGTCTGACGCGCTGTTATGGCCTTAGCGCACTGTTTCCGTCGCATTGGGCTGGAATGGTTTACTCTCAGGTGTGAAAAATATATTTGTGTGTCATGTCATGTGTGGTAATTTCAGGCGAATAGTGGTTGTGTGCAATTTTTCTCCTTTTTTAATTATAGTTTCATTTTGATATCCAACCAAAAGCTGAGATACTTCTACATACCATTTTCTTCAAGGCCATCTTCCTTCAAGACCATCTTCCTCTGGTGGATTTTTTGTGATGCTTTCAGGCGGTAACAATACCGTAAAGAGGGGCTATTTGAAACGGATTTTACAGCTTTTGGCCTCTCCCTTCAAAACGTTTGATATTTCCTATAGCATGTGAATTGAAAAACGTAGTTCTCTGTAGCCGCTCTTAGATAGGTAAATTTTGATTCAGCTGGTAACCATAAATAAAGTTATTTTTCTAATTGAAGCCTGTCTCAAATAGCCCCATAGTGTGGGGTTATTTGAGACAGTTTTGGTTGCAAGGAAGTTGAAGAAATTCAGTCAAGCTAGGGATAATTCTTTTAATGCAATGCAATTGGAAATCTAATTTTGATACTTCTGGCACAAAGTATTTCTTTCAAATACAGTTATATAACCGTTATAATCAAACTTTTCGTTTTTCGTTGGACATAGCACTTCGGTCTGTTAAAAATTGCATTACTTTAAGCAGTAGCGGCGGAACACCTTCAATTAAGGGGGGAAGGGTACCACCGACTTTTGGTCCCATTCTTTCCATGCAACGCCCATAGGGCTAATGTTAAAATGCCAAAATCAAAGGGGGGCACGGTGCCCCGGTGCCCTCCCCGTTCCGCCGCCTATGACTTTATGCTAGGGCTGTGATAATATGATGTGACCCTAAGCTTTGAAAATCACAGGATGATTATCTAGGACTATTTCTAAGTCAACGACAGTCAAATTTTCAAATAAAGTTGTTGTGTTCATCTCTGGCGGCGTAAAACATATAGACCGAAACTTGGTGGGGCTATTTGAGACAGGCTCCCTACTGCATTAAACACACTGTAATGCATTAAAAAAGGGAAAACAGTTTTCAAAATGGTTGAATGAATGGCATGCGTGATCGATTGTTCCATTACTCATCAACCTGTGAAGAAATAGCAACAAAAAGGTCAAACGGTTTTGATTTTATACCGATTTTCCTCGATCACTGCATGTTGTATCAAAGGGCCGGTTACCGCACTGCATCAAGAACGTATACTGAAGGCTCTGATAAATAACCTTCAATGGTGCCTTCTGGTCAACCAGTGTAGACATGGGTGGATTACTGACCACGTCAGTGACTGATGAAAGTTGAAACACATTTTATGCACATATTCTTAAAGGTAACTAATATCGTCACAAACTTGATGGTCATATTTAGTTACAATGTGTAAATATTGCTTGCTGCTAAAAGTACCACGAACCCATGGCCGATTCACCGGTGTTACTAATGTCGAACGTTTGATACACTTTAGGCAGAAGATGGCAGTAAGTCTTTTCGGATGCATCATATCACCTGTTTTTAGGGCCTTGGCATCACAATCATCAGCTGTATTTGGTATCCGTTGACGTTTGACGAGTAGGTATCATCGGGATTCTGAGACATTGGGTTACACAATCGTCACTACCGTCTTCATGAAAAAAATGTGCTTAGCCCATAATGAAAACGATAGTTACGATAAATTCGATTGCAGAGTTTTTAAAGCTTCAACCATGTTAAGCTTCAGGTAGGTGTGCTTTTCGTATGACTTAAATGTGTTTTTTTTCTGTATTTCTCATTTTATGCCAAATTTCTTTCAAAAATTTTCAAATTTTTTAAAAACCCTATTCATGGAATTCGTCGTTAAATTCCACATCAGCCTGGGAAAAATTTATTAAAAATCAACCAGTTTTATTTTTTGAGCAATTTTACAAAACCACTATCGTACTGTCTCAAATAGCCCCAGTGTCTCAAATAGTCCCATTTTACGGTGCCACTGGTTATGTGCATTTTTTTCTCCTTTTCAGCTCATACCTTCACTTTGGCTAAAAATGCCCGCCCCTATTTGGACAGAGGCTTGGCTCCAATATATATGTGATTGGCGGATCGGTACGTTTTACCAGCCCTGTCTGCGGCCGGCGCGTCCTGCCGGGCCGGGACTGTAACGGACTGACCGATATCGATACTATAACAAGTGGCAGCTGTAGGGAGACTGACTGACCACTCACTATAGCACAGTGAGTGTGACTGACCGATGTTGAGGACGGCGTGGTTGGTGAGCTCCCAGCAGGAGTGCAGCCGCAGCACGGTGAGCGCGGCGCTCTGCTGGCTGCTGAAGTAGGAGAGCGCCGCGTCGCTGACGTGGTAGGCCTGCAGGCTGAACTCGCAGAGGGACGGCAGCAGCTGCGCCACCGCCGCCACGCTCTCGTCGGCCACGTTGATGCAGTCGGAGACGGAGAGCGAGACGATGCGCGCGCTGAGGCAGGCCCACAGGCCGGCGTCCGTCACCTCGTTGCAGCCGGACAGCTCGAGCTGCTGCAGCCCGTGCAGCTGGTCCAACGTCTGCTCCAGGCCCTTGTCGGAGACCCGGCAGCACTGCAGCGACAGCGAGCGCACACACTTGGCCGCCGCCGGGAAGCCGTGCGTCAGATCGCACAGGTCCTCGTCCGAGGCGTGTAGCAGCGCCAGCGAGTCACAGGCGCGCACCTGCAGTGAGTGCAGGTAGCGGCGCCGCGCCGCGCCCGGCTCGCCCGCGCTCGACTCGCGGATGTCGCGGCAATTGAGCACCGGCCGAATGGCGCGCCAAAAGCGCGGCTGGTACAGCACGTCGCGCCACACGCGGCACACCTGCGCCAGCGCGCACACCTCGGCGCCAGAGAACAGTTGGAAGAACCGCTCCAGAAACGGCTCGTGCTGCCACAGCGCCGTCCAGCTCATGACTGGCGCGCGCAGCTGGCGGCGCCGGCCGCTGCTCGCCGGCGGCCGCGGGCTCCTCCGGCCGCCGGCTCCGTGCAGAGACGGGTACATCCCGTTCCGCATTTTCTGAAAAGAAAACCGCGACGGCTTCTCCGGCGGCGTGGGCTTGTCTCGCGGCGGCGGCGGCGGAGGGGGCGGCGGCGGGACGCCGGCGCGCGCCTGCCGCGCCGCGCCGCTGCCGCAGAACACGGTGGCCACCTTCTCCATGACACTGCCGCGCTTCACACCGGCCGCCGACATGTGCCGCTCCAGGCTGGCCTGTGTGGCGGCGCGGTCGTCGCGCGACTCCTTGGCCTTGGAGCGCAACCCCAGGCCGTTGATGCAGCGGGATATTTCCACCCGAGCCGTCTCCATCGCCGCGTCACAGGAGATCATACGGCGCACTGACGGCCGTCACACGGCCCCGCGCGGCCGCTCACACCACACGGCACTCGAGAGCGAGTGACGCCGCCGCCGCCGCGCCGTCAATACTCGGCCACCGCAGGGCGGCGCATGCGCGCGGCGCCGCGGCCCGGTACGGTCCACCGCGGACACGACTCGGCGGGCCGCTGCTGCCGGCCGGCGCGGCGGTGTGGGTGCCGCGTCACGGCCGCGCCGCCGCCGGGACGGGCGGCTGTTCCGCCTCACAGCACACGCCGGCGGCTCAGCCTACCTGGTCAGGGAACACACTGCCCGCCATCTGCCGGCGCCGAGATGAACTGACACCGCCGGCCGGTGGCAGCAGGTGGCAGCCTTCGAAAGAACGAGCTGCCGCAGGTGCGGATGGCAAACTCAAATAGGGGATGGTGCCTAAGTAGTGACCCCCTTAAAGGGACCCTCCCACCTTCAAAAACGGTAATCAATTGGCATAAAAGTGATGTCGTTCGGTTCAGAAAGAGCAAAAACGAACATGTAACAAATTTCGTCGAGAAATATTCACGGGTTTTTGAGATATTAGACTTTCATTTTTGTTTACTTTTTGGGACATCCGCTGTTCTAATGATGTAATTTGGAAGCAATACTTTGGCATCCTTAACCCTCGCCCGCACATGCCATTTTCCCATCCTAGAACGCACATGGGGGGGGGGGGGTGGTTGCCACCCCCCGCGCCATTTCGTTCCTGTTGGAGATAGAGCTTAGCGGTAAAGACCACAAAGATTCTTTGGGAAGAGACAAATCCAATGATACCCAGTTTTACCTTCTCAGGTCAGTCATTGATCTTCCAGGTCAGGTCAAACTAAAAAATGTTGCTGTTTTGGGTCACCGTTGGATATCAAGTGCGCTGCTTATCATATACCGATAACGATGCCGTTTTCTGGTGCCAAGCCAGCTAGAACCTCTTTCTCACACTACCCGACCAGGTTTTTGCTGCTGAGGTCATTTCAGGTCAAGTTAGGTCAAGGTCAATTATATGTGTTTGTATGTCTGTGTGTGTCTGTGTGTATACTGATGTGTGCACCGATTGTTTATGTGTCCATATTACATGAAATCATGATCTGAGAAGCTTTTACCAAAAATGCAGTCAAAAAACTTCACAAAAAGTAAATTCCGCTTGCCTAAAACGCAATTATCTTAGATGACCTAGGTTGACCTTGACCTTGACCTTGACATCTGTACATCGTCGAACAACATGTTCCATGATGGGTGGGAGGTAAGACTAGTAAAAAAGGCCGAAATCAAGGTGTCAAAAGCTCACAAGGCCCATAGCCAACGCAAGATGTCGAGAATTGGCCATTTGGGTCATGACATGACCTAAAAAACAAGGTCATATCTCCAAAACCAAAGGTCACAGAAACTTGAAATTTTCAGTGGACATCAAGAAAGGATAGAGGAGCAGCTATACGAAAAATCAGCCTTCTAGCTTTAAAAATGTGGAGTGCAGAGCAGAAAGACTACCTGGGGGGGGGGGGTGGCAACCACCCCCCCCCCCCATGTGCGGGCGAGGGTTAAAGTGAGGCAGATATTGCGTGCAAAGCAGCATATAGGTACCTACCACTACGTTTAACCAAAGGTTTTAGGATAAGACTGTGGATAGGATTTAAAAATCGGTAAATCTGCCAGAGATGAAAAAATGTCTACGCTGTCTCCAACTGTATAAGGCAGCATACTGACTCTGCCTCCATACAAATTGTAAAATTTTATTGGCTGAGCAGTGAGCATTAGGGGAGAGTAACAGAGTTACCATTATGCGCCCGGAAACTCTTCCTGTGTCTGGTGAATGCGGTCTCTGCTTAATAACGATCAATGAACATTTTTCTAGTTAAATCTACCTCCACTCTTATAATTAAAGTTCATTTTATTGGAACAAATTACGGTTTTCCCATTGACCTATAATTAGTATAGACGAACTACTCGCGTTTTTGCGGCGTTCCTCGTCGACCAAAGAAGCAAATTATTTTCTGAAATAACAGCGCAGGATAAGGGCAATCCTAACCTCTAAGCACGGACGTAGAAATAAAAGTTTATTAAATATTTAACGTTAATTTATTTTAAAATGTGTAACAGAACGCTAACATTTACTACAAAACATTTATTTAAACGTTTAAGGTTTGAAGTCAAGCCTCACGAAATCGTCTCCAGACTCCATGGTAACGGAATAAACAAAGTCCTCGGCATTATTTATTGTTGCCGCATTGCAAATTGCAAATTGCGTAAGGTGTGGTGGCAGTTCTGTGCATATTAAACAAGAAAAGATAGTTTGTCACCAATAAAGAGCACAAACAAATATCAAGCACATATTGTACGTGATAAGTGAATCATTTCAAGGCGATAAAATTGACTTACGCTATTACAGCAAGCATTTCAAGCAGTGTGATCTGAGATATTTGGCATTTATGTAATTAAAACATTTTTTATTTCATTTTCTTTAAATTTATCCTGTTTATCTGCTAGAGCAGTCAGACACTGATAATTTTATCATAATGGCTAGAGTCAAGTCAAGAGAAGAAAAACTGAGAGACACTTGCAATCTTCACAAATGTTATAAGAAACGGTTTGGAAGAGGTCTACCCAAGGTTTACCTAAGAAGGCACAGGCCTATGTTCCTGTTGCTGGAAAGCTTCTGATGTGTGCTGAAATTCATCTGCCAACTGAACCAGACATAGCCCGACTTATGGCCAACATATAAAGTAAATAAGATTGACGAACTTCAGTTGTAAGCTGCTACTGCAATTAACACCGATGGGGGCTGGAGCCGTCAAGAAAACTGAATGGAATCTCAGCAAGACTGCAACAGTCGAAATGCCTACATACCAGTACCAAGTGTGACCTGCTAATGACTGGCTAAATTATTTCTTGCGTGGCTCAACATAAGTGCTCAAGAGCAGAAGGTCCCTCATTTACTTGTGTGTGCGCTAATTTGTGGAACGTTGTTAAAATCGAAAACCAGCATTCGTGAACTTTTGGTGATCACCAGACACCAGTGACCTTTAGCGATGACCTGATCGAAAATTGTCTAGATGATTCTCAAAGTTCTTATAGCGAGCTACCTACTGCCTTTTCCGCATCTTTCTACCTTTCTTCCTTTGCGAGATAATATGGCGTGGACAAATACGTCCCCCCTCCTCCCATCACTATGGCGAAGTTGGCTGAAAGGCGGCCACCCGGGCGCGGGTTAAAGAGGCTCATGGGTGAATGAAATGATGCATCATTATGTGCACTCAGATGAGTATTTCGCCACTCATCCCACAGTCTCTACTACCATGATTATTGTTTTCATGTATTTCATAGTTCATATGCTTTGACGATGCTTTGATGATGTCATGAATGTTACTGCTGAGCTTCATCTTAAATACACAATACATAATGTTATATCAACTAACAAACTGTATTAATCGAATTCGCAATCATGAAGAGAAACGCGCATGAGACCTGCAAAACTACGTGATAGTGAAGCTGAATGCTCCTTTAACGGATCAAGAAATGATGATTCTGAGCGCAACGGCAAAGCCGCTCATTCGAGATGTGAAAGTGGCCCCGCTCGTATGCACGTGCAAACTAGACCCAAATGGACTTGAGCATGGCACCCTCTTAACCCGCGACCGCCTGGGGGGGGGGGTCGGATCCGACCCCCCCCCTCCGTTTTTCTTGAATAACTCATGAACCGCTTGCGCTATCAACTTGAAACTTCGCATACCTTCTCCCCCATCAATTTGACGTCTCCTGTTCAATTTAAAAAAATCAAATATTTCTGAGATATATCGAATTTAGTGATGTAACTACATGGCGTTTTCAGTCAAAAAAATGGTAAATGTTTAAAAAATCGCCAAAAATCGAGGTTTTAAGCAAATTGCAAATTAAGGACATGAAAAGACGCAGCTCAACGAGTTCTTTAAAATGGCTATCTCGGATTTTCCATAAAATGCGTTTTTCACCCCTAAAAATTCAAAAAACAGTATTTTTTTTAACAGCTAATAAAATTCAAAATTTTGGATTTTAAATTTTGGATTTTAAAATCCCAAATTACAACTTTCTATCTTGATTTTTGACCCCCAAATTGTAAAAAATAGCTCCAACATGCATAGGGCATGGTGACGTCATAAGCATTTTCGCAAATTAGAGGCACTTCTGAACATCGCATGTGAAAACAAATGGCACCACTAGATTCCTGCGACAAAGCTCGTCTAGAAAAGTGCATTTTTATGTCAAAAATAAAAAGTTGAAAAATTGACTTTTTTTCTTAGCCCTCGTTTAGTTATGTATGGTATAAACGATTTTTTATGCTTTCAATGCACACTTATCACCAGCACAGTGACTTGGGGTCACATATAACCATTACCATCGGATTTGGCGTGAAAAATAAGCCATAAAACATGTGTCGCACGCCCATGTAGCAGAAAGTGAAAACCGTGACCTTTCGTGACCTGACCTGACCTTGACCCGTACTTAGTATGACCCCTATACGCACATGGTACTTTCACTAGGTCTTTGAGGTCATTTGTGGTGAGTTTCGAGCAGCAGCTATCGATTCCGCTGTCCGTAAGCCTAATCATGCAAAACCCCTGAATTTGACCTTTGACCTGACCTTGACCCGAAAGTTGACCTCAATCTTACAATCTTAAGAGTGCTTTGGGAAGGTCTCGTAGAGACCTTTCGAACGCCGCCTCGCGGGGCTCGATACGACCATTGGTTCTCGAGATAACAGGGGGGGGGGGTCGGATCCGACCCCCCACCCCCAGGCTGATGTGGGTACGGAAATAGCCCAGGCGGTGCCGGGTTAAACGGTCACTACCGGTGTACCAAATTTGAGCGCAATCTCCCCAGCCGTTCTCGAGATGTGGAAGCGACCCCTCGCGCGTGCGCACGTGCAAGCTGGACCCAAACTGACTTGTGCACGGCACCCTGCCAAACGGTCCCTAACGGTGTACCAAATTTGAGCACAATCTG